GGGAGACAGTGTCAAAGGCCTTGCTGAAGTCCACATAGACAACATCCACAGCTTTTCCTGCTTTTACCAGGCAGGTCACCTGGTCATAAAAGGAGACCAGGTTGGTCAAACACCACCTACCCCTCCTAAACCCACACTGGCTGGGTCTGATACCCTGGCCATCCTGTAAGTGCTGCACAATGACAATATAAACTGCTCCATAACCTGACTGGGTACAGAGGTCAGGCTAACTGTAATTACCAGCATCCTCCTTCCCACCCTTTTTGTGAATGGGTGTCACATTGGCCAGCTTCCAGTCATCTGGAACCTCACCAGTGAGCCAGGACTGTTGGTAAATGATGGGGAGTGGCTTCACAAGCTCTTCTGCCAGCTCCCTCATCACCCTAGGATGGATCCCATCTGAGCCCATAGATTTATGAATATCCAGCAGCTCAGCAGTTCTCTGACTGACTCCTCCTGGATAACAGGGGGATCATTCCCCTCCCTGACACCATCTACCAGCCCAGGAGGACAGCTGTCTTGAGGAGAAGCTGTCCTACCACCAAAGACTGAGGCAAAGGAGGTGTTAAGCACTTCTGCCTTCTCATCTGCAGTTACTATGTTCCCACCCATCCAGTAGAAAACAAAGGTTGGTCTTAACCTTCCTTTTGCCATTAATATATTTATTAAAAAAACTTTTTTTTTATCCTTTAGAAAAGTTGAAAAAATTAGTTCAAACTGAGCTTTGATCTCTCTAGTTTTCTTTTCCTACATGCCATAGAAACCCCCTTGAATACCTCCTGAGAAACCTAACACCCCCATCCAAAAATGATACATCCTCTTTTTATTCCAAAGTTACTTCAAAACCTCATTGCACATCCAGGCTGGACATTTGCCTTGCCGACTCATCTTATGGCACACGGGGACGGTCTGGTCTGTTCCTGTGCCCTCAGGATCTCTGTTTTAAAGCACACCCAGCTTTCCTGGACTCCCTTGTTTTTAAGGGCAGCTCCCCAAGTAAATCTCTAAATAAATCTTCCAAATAGGCCAAAGTCTACCCTCCCGAAGTGTAATGTAAAAATTTTATTGATGTTCCTCCTGATTTCACCAAATATCAAGAACTCTATAATTTAATGATCACTCCACCTCAAGTGGCCTCCAACTACCACATCTCCCACCAGCCCACCCCTATTTGCAAATAAACAGGTCTAACAGAGTCCCTCCCCTGGTGGGCTCACCCACCAGCTGTGACAAAAAGTTGTCCTCCACACACTCTAAGAACTTCCTGGATTGTCTCTTTTCTGCTGTATTAAGTTCCTAGCAGATGTCTGGCAACTTCAAGTCACCTACCAGAACAAGGGCTGGTGATCCTGAAACATTCTCCAGCTGCTTATAGAATGAGTTGTCTACCTCTTCTTCCTGGTTGGATGGATGATAACAGACTCCCAGGAGGATGTCAGCCTTGCTGGCCTACCTCTTAATTCTTACCCATAGGCGTTCAACTTAATCATCATTAGTCTCAATACCCATAGCATCAAAAGCCTCCCTAATATAAAGAGCCACCCCTCCACTTCTTCTCCGCTTCCTGTCTCTTCTGAAGAGCCTGTAGCCATTCAGTGCAGCACTTTAGCTATGTGAGTTGTCCCACCATATTTCCGTGTTGCAGTTTATATTAATTCAGAACTATTTTCAATTTAACACAGCTTTTGTTTATACAATGGGATACACAGCTCCCTCTTCTCCAAGATGATGAGAACAGCAAGCCTGAAAAAAAGCATTTTATTTCCGAAAGGAAGAGCGTAGCAAGATTTGTGAGGCAGTGTTCAAGAATGGCCTCCTTTTAAAGTGAAGATTTTGTAATGGGTTTCCAAAAGACATACTATAAATGCTTTATTTTATTTTTTTTATTTGCTTATGCTGAACAAAAAAGAGTAGTTTCAGGCAAATATTCTGACACATCAGAGATTAGACACGATTCCTTTAAAGGGTTACATTTCCCCCTGTTTCTACAACCCAAGGACAAATTAATTGATAATATACAGATGTTAAACTCCTCCTAAATGCAAGGGATCATTTGACTTGAGGCATGATCATGTTTTTGTAGAGATGCTTGAAGTTACTGCTATGATCAACATTCATTATACTTGTACAGAAATGCAGAATTAATAAACCCCAGCTTTTCTTCACCTGAGTTTCCTCGCTGATGACTATTCCTCCTTGGCCTGCTTCTTCTTCCTTCTCTATCTTCCTTTATTGATCCCCAAACAAGGACCACTTTCCACTAATTAATTCTTTTTACCAGGGTTAGCTGTGTAGAAATGAGTACAGCAGGTAGGCCTGTCTGCCTTAAATTGCATCTTTTCAGAATCACCTTTCATCCTCAGTCCTGGAATGATAACACAGAGAATCGCACCAGGTAGGATTATTAGTCTGGATGCTGTGCTGCTCTTCACTCACCCTGCTCCTCAGCAGCTAACGACTGCAGGAGAGATGTCTAGATAAAATGGCCTGCAAATCATCCAAGGGATAATTAAAAGGGAAAAAAAATAGTACATATGATATTTCTAAAGGCAGAATAAGAAATAACAAAATGAAACAAAACAAAAAACAATACCAAAACAGAATGAGGAGGGCAGGTGCTCAGTCAGCTGTTCATGCAAAGAGAACAGTTGACAAAAATACAAGTATGTGGGAATGGCAACAATGTTTGCTTCCCACAGTTTTCATCAACAGGGCTTTAAAGCAAACAAAAAACTCCCTGAGATTGTCTGCTGGTTTGGGTACAGCCACTCAAACGTTCCTACACAAACACATATTCACACACTGCTTTTATCAGGCAAACAATCCAGGTAACCAAATTCTACATCTGGGCATCACAAGTTTCCAGACACAAATTTGTTCAGTGTCAAACAGATGTCAAACACTGTGTGAGTCTTTGAAAAGTATAAATGGAAGGACAGCATACTTGGTTAGCAGATTATTGCCTATCTCATGGAATCCATGTGTATAGTACTAAGGCATGCTATTTTGAGACAAATTAATCCATTGTAATAGATACTGACAAGATTTTTATGTATTCTGTATACTCTCAAAAATGTAATTTATTTCTTCATGATCTAGTAAAGCTGGCTGCATCAGGTCTTTAGAAATTGTTAATTGTCTTCAATATTTCTGTATATATGTGGTTGTCCAAGCTAATGAATTAGTGACACATTTAACACCGCATACACCCTATGTGTGTTCTTAGCAATAAAAGTAATTCCATTGTAACTATATCAACAGTTTTTAATAAGCACTTTTTCCACTTCAGGCCTGAAGGGTGAGGAGGTTATGGACTTCAAGTATCTGATGAAAGAGAAAGCAAATGAAATCAAATATCCTGCAGCATGCAGAAGAGTTGACTACCAGATCCAATGTCACCCTTGCTATAAGGATCATATGCTCAGAATTGCCTGCTACATACACCATCAAAACCTTAATATTAAAAAATATAATATCCTACAGTAAAAACATGTCTACATAGTCCTCTTGAACTAAGTAATAAAAAAAGTAACTGATTTCCTGTTCTTATCCTTACATTCAGTTAAAGAAGAAAAAGGGCCTTTATTTCATGAAAATTGTTTAGTGCCTAAAAAAGCTCTTACATATAAAACTGAAATAGGCAATGTGACTGATTTTTGACTACATAAAGATTGAAGTTGGCCCCACCTGTATGTAGTCTTTAAATTATTTATTTATGGCAGCCCTTAATAATTGATTTATGTACAATCAAAGCTACAGCTGTTACTCAGTCTGGTTTGATTCAAATAAGTATTTTAACCACAAGGGTATAAAAAGTCTCAGATTGCTGCTTTAAGACTAAGGTTTATTCCCCAGGTCAGACCGAATCACTTAATCAGATACTCTCATCTATACCGTTGTTACTTGACATTCCAAAAGCAAATTATGCACTAGTTCCATGAATAATCCTCTCTGGAATTAATTCCAAATATTGCTGCTGTGTTCAAACACAATCTACACAATCTGCGTGGCAGATTAAAGAAAAAAGTAACAGGGTAAGAGGACACAACCTCAAGTGTCTGTCAACCTCCAAGAACCAGGTGACATTTTTCTGTGAAAGAGCGATTAGATTTTGGAATGAGCTGCGCAGCCCAGGGAGGTGGTGGAGTCAAGAGTCCCTGGAAGTGTTAAGCAATGACTGGAAGTGGCACTCAGTGCCATGGTCTGGTTGACAGGGTGGTGCTGGGTCATAGGCTGGACTCCAGGTCTTTTCCAACCTGATTCCGTGACCCCTTCCCTTCCACTTATGGGTGTTTGTTTGTTTTTTTTACGATTTAACCTCGATGCTGCCTGGAGTCCCCAAGCGTGAAACCCCGGCGTTTGCTCCTGTCCCCAGGAGGATGCCACGGCAGGAGCAAGCACAGACAAACGACGCTTTAGGGCCGAACGCCACACCCGGCGCAGGCTCCCCACCCACAACGCCGACCCTTCCGGGCGTGGGCAGGGCGGAGGGAGCGCGCGGGAAGAGAGCAGGAGGGGCGGGCAGAGAGGAGGGGCGGGAAGAGAGGAGGAGAGGCGGGCAGAGAGGAGGAGAGGCGGGCAGAGAGGAGGGGCGGGAAGAGAGGAGGAGAGGCGGGCAGAGAGGAGGGCAGAGAGGAGGGGCGGGAAGAGAGGAGGAAGGGTGGGCAGAGAGGAGGGACGGGAAGAGAGGAGGAGAGGCGGGCAGAGAGGAAGAGAGGCGGGCAGAGAGGAGGGGCGGGAAGAGAGGAGGGGCGGGAAGAGAGGACGGACGGGAAGAGGGGAGGGATGGGAAGAGAAGAGGGATGGGAAGAGAGGAGGAGGGGCGGGAAGAGAGGAGGAAGGGTGGGCAGAGAGGAGGAAGGATGGGCAGAGAGGAGGGACGGGAAGAGAGGAAGAGGAGGCGGGCAGAGACGGAGGCGGGCGGAGAGGAGGCGGCGCGGGCAGAGAGGAGGCGGGCGGAGAGGAGGCGGCGCGGGCAGAGAGGAGGCGGGCGGAGAGGAGGCGGCGCGGGCGCTGTCGCGCTGTGCAGGCGTCACGGGCAGGGGCGGAGGCGGCGCGGCCGCGCTGCGGGCAGAGCGGGCGGTGTGAGGGAGCCGGCGCCCCTCGGGCAGGTGGGTGGCGGCGGGGCTGCCGGGCCTGAGCGAGGCCGGCCGGGCCGGGTCGGGCCGGGCCGGGCCGCCGGTCCCGGGAGAGCCGGGGCGGCCATCCGCCCGTCCATTGTGGGCGGGAGGGGAAGGGAGCGGAGAGCGCGTTCCGAGGGCCGGGGGAAGGTGGGCAGCGGCGGAGTGCGTCAGGCCATCCGCGGCTCTTGGAGAAACCCATCGCGACCGCTCTCACTGCGCTTAATTCAGACTGTGGGTGCGTTATTAATTCACCGCAGCGCTGCTGCTCAGGGACCCGCAGGGCCGGGGTGCAGCGGTGACATGGTCTCCTGTGGAAGTCTGACTGATTGTGCTTCACGTTTCCTGCAGGATTCAGCGTTCCCATCCCTCGCTCCGCCTGGCTGAGCCGGAGCTCTTCGCCGCTTCACTGTACAGCCTGGCACCTTGATGGAAACAGATGTTCATGGTGGTCCGAGGTGACGTGGGACCCAGCAGCGGGCCTCCTTTTTGTTTTGCCACAGCTGCAGCCAGCTCTGGCTGGCCTTGTATCTGGGATTTAAATTGCCTCTCCTCAAACAGTCAGTTTTTCTTGAGTCAGAGCCTAAACTGGGTTCCTTCAAGGCTTCAACTTTTAAGGACTATAAAGGTTTGACGTAATTCTTAAGTGTAGCCTGACATACCTTGTCAGGAAGAAGTTCAGTTGGGAAAATGGGTGTATGACTCTAATTATCTATACTATTTTTTACTAGAATAGAATTTGCAAGAAGTTACTACTAGTTCTACTAACAGAAATTACTAGAATCTGAAAAAAGTAATTGATCACAACCCTTGATATTTCAAGCCTGAAGTTTCAGCAGAACAGTATAAACTGTATAATACATTTTAAGCAACACACATGCTGTGTTTGGCTTGTGTTTTCTAACAGTTGCCATATTTATGAAGTCTCCAACAGATTGAATTCCAACCTCTTATTTTAAAGGAGTATGTTCATCTTATATTGTGCCTGTTTTGCAGATATTTGTGGGGGTTAAAAGATTTGAACTCCAGCTGAATAAAATAAGGGCTGAAAATTGAAGGATGGCAGCAAATCCTTCAGGACAAGGTAGGTTTTAATTTAAGGGATAGGTGAATGCAAAATATCAGTGAAGTCACCATAACTGTAAGTTTCTTTTTATGGAAAGATGAAGAAGGGCATGAGAAGTGGGGCTGAAAGCACAATGGCAGCTATTCTTCTGGGACGAGGTACAGACACATTTAAGGTTTGAAAAAGATCACTGAGGGCTGGGAAGCTCTTTATTACTGAGCAGTGTTGTGCTCGGGATTAGGAAGTATGTATCATGCCTGTGGTACAGCGATTGTTTGCGGAAGCTTATTTCACACACTTACAAGACACTCAGACACTTGGCCTTGGACATGACTATTGCACTCAACATCAGAGAATGGCCAGAAGTCAAACACATTCCATGTCATGTTGGGAACAGCAAGACCCAGGCAATAATATCTATCACAGGCAGCAATTGGCCAGACCTAGGAGAAAAAGTCAGTTAAAACCGAAATGGTAACTGCAATGAAATGTTCCTTTATACTAAGATGCATCTTAGTTGTATCCTTAAAATAATAACAATCTTAGTAATGGTCCATCTATGCAGGTGATGGATGTGCTTTAGAGGGGGCTGAGGGTCTGGAGTTGTCGCCTAATAAATTTGAAGGAGGATCTTAAATCGCCCTCTAGAGGTGTTTCCTGGAAACCTTAGGGGAACTCTGAGGCTTTTCTTAGGTGGAAGAGCTGGGGAGAAAGCTTTTCAGGTATGGCTCTTCCCTTACTTGGTTATGGGAAATGAATTATGGGTTCAGTTTCCCAGCAAGTGGAGATGTTTTGCAGGTCTGTGTTTTGTGTCCTTACCTCAAGCAGTCCTGCAAACCTTGGTGTTGCTGGATGATACTTCAGGGGGTATTGTATAACTCGCAGGGGATCCAAAACACAGATTTTACTTGCTACTTGATGAAAAGGAAGTAGTTTCAGGAATGCCTTTTGAGATTTTGTGAGGTGTTGAGAGAGAAGTGCTGCAGATTGCAGAGCTGTCTGTTTGCAAATTTTAACTGAGAAAGTTTTTTGTACATAATGGTAAATCTTGCCTTTATTCTGTGACTACCAAATCAGCATAATTGCAAGGAATAGAATGTTGTCATAGGTAGTTAAAAGCTTAAATATGTTGGTTTACTGAGAGATGGGATTTCAGTGCCAGAATACCTTTGCTTCCCTCCCAGTTCCAGAGTCTTATAACTTCATAGAGCCTCGGAATCTTTTATATTTGAGATATCCTTTACAGACTCATTAAAAGAGCTGTGTAGTTATTATTTGAAAATTGTTTGCACTAAGGAGACAAGAAACACTGTCAAATTTAATTAACAAATAGGCCTATAAGTAGTACAACTAAGAAAATTAGAAAGGACCAGGTAAATATAAACAACAGTTCAGGGTTTCTGTCTTCGGTGGACACATCTAGTAGTGAAAAGGACTGTGAAAAACACTGCATTTTTAGCTTGCCTCTTGGCATATGTATTAGTACTGCTCAAGGAATCAATTCACTTGGACAAAAATAATAAAAGTTTACTGAAATGCTCACCAGGAGGGATATGAATGGTAGCACTTACTCAAGCAGAACTGTAAGGATGAATTAAACATTAGCCTTCTACACAGGTAGACTGTGATGGGAATTTTTTGTACCAAATTACTGCTCTTCCTTTGATGTATATCAGGTATTTTCTTAGGAGTAAACTTGAGTTTTCCACTGTTTACAGATTTGGACTATAAAAGTTAAGATTTTTTGGACCAGACTTTTATTTGCCAGCCTCTTAGAAAAGCACTCTTGGTGGTGAGCTGCATATGAGTGCAGAAAAACGAAAAATAATTGAATGAAAAGTCTTATTTCATTAACTAGTGCCACAGGGAGCTGATGGCATAGGACTGACTGTGGCATTTACCAGCAATGGAAGATCTTGCTGTATGCTGAGCATTGTCCACCAGATGAACTCATTGACCAGAGTGATACACTTTGATGGGTGGAAATCAGCTTCTGAATTACAGCAAATACTTCTAGGTGCTCAGGAATACACCGCTCCTACTGCAGTACTTCACAGTACTTAGGTAACATGCATTCATCAGGCTGCTCTTGTGGAATGCCTCTGCTTGTGTGCAGCAAGGCCAGAGCCTTGTGTGTAACTGAATTAGCCACTCTGTGTATGAGTCCTAGAGGAAGCTGTCTGGCATGAGAGAAATGTAAATGTAACTGCTCAGGACAGAATTCTCCTTTTGGTCCTCAGAGGTGGAAAAGATGCAGATCCTGTTTCAGACAGGGCTGAACATTTCAGAAAATAAGAATTCTTACTGGTATGTTGGAAGACAAAGCTCTTGAAATATGAACAGAATTCTAAGTTTCAGGCTGCAGCAATTCTAGTCTCTTTATGTCCTGAAAGTTGTTTATGCTTTTCCCTAAAGGTATGTGGGGGTGTTCACATAGCACAGTCTAAGCAGCTAGATTTAGCTCTCTGTTCACCAAGTCTGAAAAGGAAGATTGTGCTGTTGAATTATTATGAATGCATTGAATGATGTCATCACCTACAGAGTTTGCTCTTCCCCATCTGAGTCTGATCTGTGTGTAAGCATAGTACTTGAGAACTTTGCAGCCATAAAGCTGTCAATTACTTATATTCAGCTATGTATGTAGCTGTTTTCTGGAGGCACAGACAAAATACTAATGTATTTTTAAGTAATTCAACTTAATTTACTGAGTAACCAGTACATCTTTTGTTTCATTGTCACACAAAGTGTATGAAAGCATACCCAGATATAAATTGTTACTGAGAGTATAGGCATGCAGCAGACTGTTAGATGATGCTTTGAGATGTCAGTCATCATAAGCAGAAGAGGATGTCTAACTAGAATTACTCCATTTTCTTCACAAGTGGTGTGTGTTTAATGAGGTCTTCAGATCCTGTTTTTTAAGAGGGTTCTGCCTCACTTCATGAATGCTGCCATTTATAGAAACATGCACTTCAGTAAAGAAATAACTTTTAATCCTTTCTGAATTGAGCAGGCAGGACAAAATGCAGTGCCTTTCAATGTTCAGAGCTTGGAGCTAACATACAGCTTTGAAAACATTTTCTGAGTAAAAGTGTGTCTTGGACACAAATTAATGGAGGGTTCTTTAGTGCTGTTACACATTTGTGGATGAATGATAAATGGTGAATCTTGGAAAAACCTGAAATATTTTTTGTGAATTTGGAGCAAGAAGTCAAGGAAGGATCAAGGAAACAGATCAAGGAGAAAAGATAATCAATGAAAAGCAAAAAATTAAAAACAAAGGTAATGGTGTTGCTTGCCACACATAGTTCAAGGAACTGCCAAAGGTAACGGTTAGCTAGGGTGGTAGATAAAATCTTGAAGTTAGGTTAAAGTGAGAGGCTTGCTGTGGGCTCTGAAAGCTGCCAGTATCACTCAACAAGGTTTCAGCTTTATTTGGCATTCTGCCTTTCACGTGCAGATAATAGGTGTAAGTAATCTTTCAGGTCCTGCACAGATACAATGCTTGATGTCAGAAATAGAGGTCTCAAAAAGGTTTAAAATCTACATGTCCTGAATCGGCTACATTAGAGAGTAATATCAGGATCTAGGTGCTCAGTTTGACATCTGACACTGCCATTGAACTATTTAGCTGCCTTGAACAGGTCATTCTGTGTCAGGAGTCATGTCAACAAAGCAGAGAAAGAACAGTTTGAATATTGCAGTTTATAAATATTTAACTCAAAATATTAGTGCAACTCAGCCCAGTAAAGGGAGGTCTTAAATTTAAAGCTTTATTAGGAAGTTCCTGTGTTTGAAAATCTTTACTGGCTTTAACAGATGGGAATCTGGTCTGTACTAAGGACAGCTTTTGATTTTTGCATGTCCATATTTTCAGTACTAGAAAGCAGAACAGACAAACCTGCAGATGAAATATTACTCTTATTTATAATTGAAGTGGGAAAATTCTGTAGAAGTTTAAAATTGGTCTTTGTGAAAGCATTTTGTGTTCCTCAACAGGGAACAATCTGAATTAAACTCTTGTTTATTTATTGCCAGATATGCTTAATTACTTTCTAAGGATGCCAGAATTTCTCTGTAAAATTGATTTCTCCTGTTTTGCACACTTCATTGTTAACCTTTAAATGAACAGCCTTTACTTTGCATGTTGAAGAAGTTTACCTGCAGGAAGATCACGTTGCTCAGATGTGAAGTATTGACATATATATGTTGAATATATACTCCTCCACATTCTTAAATAGGCTTTTAGGCTTTTATCTCCTTACCAATAACAAATTCTCTTAGACAAATTACTTTCTCAGCACAGCAGGTTGCTGATGGCCACTGTCTGAGCTCTAATGCAAAATACTGCTTTACAAAAAAACCCAAGCAACAGTCAAAAAACACACAACAAAGCTCTCTGTAGAGGTATATGGAAAGAAAAGATACTTGGGTTTCTTCTGAATACCTCTAGAGTTTCTTCCACAAGATACTGTAACAAGACTCAAAATAGAAGACAGTCTTCTACTGTTTGTGATCACAGTTTAAAAACAGCATTTAAAATGTCTCAGGCTTTTCTGAATCATACCATCTGCTTCATGATAAATTTAAGCATATTTAATATTTATTTTTTTAGATCACAAACTTAGATAAAAAGTGGTCCCCTTTTTCTTTTCTTAAGCATCATATCTTGTGAATTCCAAGCATGCATTTAAATTTATGCAGTTCAGGATAAGCAATCAGTATCAGAAGGGTGCTGAGTAATAGGTCAAGTATAGATGTGAGGTTTTTGGATTAAAATTGTGTAGAATTAGCACACAAACATATGCTTGTTTTAGGTCAGGCCCTCTAAGAGGTGATTTGGTCATCCTATCCATGCGTTGTCTCCAGAATTTACAAGAAAGTAAAGTCTGGGCTGGTTGCAGCTCAGAGATATTAAATCCTAGGTTGTTGGCAAGATTTGTCAGCCTTTGTGTGTCAGCTCTGTTTCAAGGTTTCAGATTCATTGCAAGCGCAAGGTCTTAGAAAAAAAAATAAGAGATAGTGTACAATACCCGAAGAGCAGAGAAATATCCAAGGCCTGAATCAGTACTCTTACCAAACAGAGTTTAAGTGGAGCTAATGCCACATAGGAAGGAGAAATTAGTTAAATTAAATGTAATGAAAATCTTAATTAACAAATGTTAATTAATTGTAATTAATATCTTATTAACAAATGTCAAAATTATTGTGGATGATCTTACATAAAACCATAGTACAATATAAACAAAAGGCTGTGTTCCTTTTGAGAACTTTTGAGACACTGAAGTTTATGGGTATGTGTTTGTATTAGGTATAGTAGAAGAAAAAGGTTGAGAGTTTGATAGCAAGGCAGTACAGATGCATATTGTTATTTAGAGTTTAAGGTTTCTCTGGTGATTGTCTCCTTCATTAAGCCATGCAGATAAAAGGGAGACTGGACTATGTAACTGAGCATCAGCACAAGGTCTGTCAAAGAGGATGAACTTTGAATGCAGCTACTGAAAATAAATCATTTTACCTTGACATGCTAATACTCTCCTTAAGAGTTACCATATGTGGCCTTCCTCACAGTTTGTGGGCTACGGTGTTTTAATGCTGTCGCTAAGACAGTTTGCAGGGCAGGGCATGGCATGCAGCAATTTCCAGGGGGAATCTTGGACTTTTTGTGTGGAGGAAATAAAGGAGAGCTTGACTTTTACTTACTGTTTTTTTAAAATCATGTTGTCATAGCTTCTTATTTGTAGAAAGCAGCAAATAAGAGATTCAAGAAGTGTGTGTTTCTGATATGAAGAGTGTCCTCAGTGGCATAGAGGTGACTAAGAGTCAGCTGTGGAGCTGTTCTCCTTAGCTGTGCTGTTTGGGTATACTGGGCAACAGCAGGGGCTTGTGCATCTGGTTTGTTGAAGAGCTGCAGTGAGATCCTTTATTATATGAGTCCTGTGTAGGTACAGGAGTTTGCCATGTTTGCATTTAGAAGGCAACTTTGAAAAAAACATAGATGGCAGCTATTTTGGGCATTTTTGAAATTCTTTCAAGTCACCCTACTTCCTGACCCCTTCTGTTGTATTCAGAGTCACTTTGGAAGAATGATGAAAGCAAATGGAGGCCACATTCTTATATTCTTAAACAGACAGTTTAATAGTTTAAATTTGCTTCTCTATTCCAGCATTTGACCATACTCAGAATAAGAGTAGTAGTATAGGACACATTATATTTAAATTTTTCTTCATAGATTGAATGAAACATGTTTGTATAAACACATGTGCAATCTTAGTGATTTGCTCATTCTTAGCTGTTATATATATATAAAATGCTTGTGTTACAGTTTGAGTTCACTGACATGAGAAATTAAGCCCCATGCATGTATTGCTCTTTTGTTATTGTTGAGTTGAACATTCGGAGACTACTTTTTAAATTTAGAACCTGGTAAGTTTACTTCTTTTCGGAAGGCAGCTATTTGATTTTAAACCTTGATTATAGCTCCAGATCTGGCTTGGGAAGTGATAGGCTCTATCTTGAGTTAAAAGCCTCTGTTTTAAAGCTTCTGAGTTAAAGCTTCTGTTTTGCATGATAGCTTATGGAAGCTATTGCATGCTGACAAATGAAGCCTATTTAATAATAGTATTTTCAAATGAAGGTCAGTGTATAATCTTAGAGTAATTTTCTACAGGAATTTCTAATTCCACAGGGTTAGAGTTGGGCCACAGAAGTCAAATAAATATCTCTAATATTTTTCTGTCATTCTCACCAGGTTTCCAGAATAAAAATAGGGTTGCAATCCTGGCAGAACTAGACAAGGAGAAGAGAAAGTTACTTATGCAAAACCAGTCTTCCACAAATCACCCTGGAGCCAGGTATTTTATGTTCTTAGACCTGTTGGGACATCACTGATTACATCAAGGAAAAAAAGCCAAACAGCTAGTGAGCTGTAAACTTATATAAATACTTAACAGAAGTGTATTCTGACCATCTGTAATAACAAGGCAAGGGGACATTGCTCTTTAGGAACATATTAGTATTTAAAGTGGTTTACATAGCGTGAATTTTGGCTTATATAATTTCCATTTGAGAATGAGATAATCAGATATGCTTACTCAAATGTGTTAAAATCTACCATAAAGAAAAATCAGGAAGCAGACACTGAGAAAACTTTCATTATTAAGCTGAAATGCTCTGGGAAATGGAAGTAGCAGACCATTAAGTTCAGGATTTTGTGTGCTTAGAGAAGAGCAATTACAGCTGGAGTGACTTATTCTTGAAACTCCCTATGTGCAAGACAAAGCCAGTGTATGTTATAAGATAATCCTGTAAAAGATGCTGTGTTTTAGGTACGATTCTACACCATAAAGTGTAATAGTCTAATCTGAGTTGAGGGCTGGTACTGGGATTTCTCACATACAAGACAAGAAAATCAGATTTTTGTCATAAATCAGTAACCAGAAAATCACACAACAATTTATGTGGAGAAATTGACATCCTTGAACTTCCGGGTTATGGTGAAGTGAGTGCAGTGTCACATTCTAGACACAGTGTAACCCAAAACACCTGTACAAGAGTCAAATACTCTGACTAGAGTCTGAGTGCTGCCATGTCTTTTCTTCTAAGACATCCCATGGCACTTTTTCCTTCATAATGTCAAAAAACATGCAGAATACTTGCCTTATGTAGACTTCTGAGTGAGGTAAGAAGTTACAGTCAGGAACTTTATGTAGTTATTATTTGAGCAAAATTGTTGGAAAGAAAATCAGAATACCATACTGTTATGTACAGCTCCTGGCAACAGTGTTTCTGTGCTTTATTATAAGTCTGACAGAGCTTCAGGGAGTGCTTGTTTGCTCTCTTTTTTTCTTTAAGAAAATACAACACTGTATTCTAGTGAGCTGAATTAGAATTTTCTAGTTTTGAAGGTGGACATGGGTGGAACATAAAATGTAGCAGTCACACACTCTACTTTGGCGTGGTGGGCTGATGTGTGATTTTTGAGAAGCTGCCAGTTTTTTGATGTTGTACCAAAGGTCTTGGACCACAGAGTTGTCAAAATTGAGACCATAAAAATGGTGCAAACTTGACCAAAAGCACTTGATGTACCTAAAGCACAGCAGTGGCAGGGATAGTGTAAGGGTGAATGAGTTAATTGATTTCTGTACTTGGCAGGTGAAAATCCTGAAGATTTTTCACTTCATAAAAAAGAACAGAAGACATCTCTTGAAAAATGTCAGCTTATGGTGGAGTCTTAAGCTTATCTACAAAAATCTTATTGAAAAGTTAGAGGGTACAGATTACAAATTACAAACTAAATGCCTCCAATATCACTGAAAATATCGTTTTAAATAAACTGAGTAGTATTCTTCTCCAGCAGTGAAACTTACCTTAATATTTGCCATAAGCAATTTTTTTCTGAATTGTTTAGCTTTTGTTATGCATTTAGGCATAGATTTGGCTGCAGATCTTTTCATGAGCATGGCTGCTTCTCAAAAACTGATTTACTAAATCAGCTGTTGACATTGAAACAGCTGGTAAAATTCAGCTGATGAGTTTGATTGGAATCCTTGTCATTTGTACTTCTGTCTCTGTGATTGGTAAGAGCAGGGTTTTCAGCAGCAGCCTCCAGTGACAGTCTCAGAGGTAGTGAGAATTGTCTTGTGATACAGCTCTAATGGCAACCCTCACCTGATTTCCGCGTTAATGTTCTATATAGAGTCAGGAGTGCTTTTTATGTCTTATTTTTGGGTTAAGAAGGCAGACAAGTCCTAAGGTAGAAAAGACTTAAACTAAAAGAAAAAAATCGGTAAATTTTAATTTGAAACCTTATGCTGCAGTGAGATAGATATGCTAAATCAGTTTTAGGTACTCCAACCTCTTACCAAGGAATCATTATTTCAATTAACATTAATAGGAAGCTCCTTTATCATAGGCAGTGAACTGCTTCCTTCCCACCAAAGACCTGTTCTTGTACTGAAGTCTGCAGAGTTCTTGTAAGTGCTTCTGTTTATCACAGTTGTTTAGAACAGTCACTCAGTGACTGAGTAGTGGTGAAAGCACAAAACTGCTTTAGAAATTCCTTGCATTGTTTAATACTGCACCCCAGTGCTTTCATTGACTTCAGTGGGACTCAATCCATGGGCAAAATCCACAATAGGCTTCAGGTTTAGTTTGGCAGGAATTGTTTATGATGGCTCAAATTATACACCTGTGCTCGCTCCATCTACCATTTTTTTATTTTTTCCTCTTAGATTTACAGATAGTAATTCCAAACAGTAACTGACAATTGTCAAGCCATGAGTGAAATGAGAACTCAGGAAGTCATAATATCCGTGGCTAGAATGGCAAGAACGCAAGTTTTGGCTGTGGTCTGTGTCATACCATCTTGTTCTTTCTTGCAGCATTGCACTTACAAGATCACCTCTGAATAAGGATTTCCGTGATCATGCTGAGCAACAGCACATTGCAGCACAGCAGAAGGCTGCACTGCAGGTGAGCTGATACAGTCAGAGTTCAGTTTGGCTCTGTTTTAGATGTGAATCCCTTCAGAGAGCAGCCCTGCTCCTAGAGATATTGAAAAGCCCCTTTTAGAGATTAGGTATCTCTCATTTCTGTATTTGTCATAAGGGAGGTCTCTTTTGTTATGAGAAACATGTCCTTGGGTGTGGAGAGCTCCACCCAGCCCTACAGCCATCTCTGTGTCTCTGTTGAACTCCCCCCAGTTTGTATCTCAGACTGAGCTCAGAGGGCTCCCCTTGGCCTGCTGGCCATGATGTTACTGGTGCAAGTCACTGTGCCAGTTGGGCTTGATCACTCCAAGGGCACACTAAAGGCTCAAGCTGAATTTGAGATCCAGCAGGGATCTTCCCTAGTGGGGGAGGGAGGGAATATGCAGAACATCTAACTTGCTGGAGTTCATACAGCAGCTGCCTCCCTCAGATGAACAAGCATATATCTACATCACATGAGCAGAATCCTGGTGTCCCATGTTTAGGATTGTGTCTGGTGGCACTCCATGTAGCAGCTGTTGTAAACAAGAATTACAAGCTGGTTTTGGAAAGGAATGGAAGTGGAAACATGGGTTCTAGTCAAAGAAGAGCCATCAGGAGTTGATTTGCTCCACCTCCATGGGGTTGGCTAAAAAGAACAGAAGAGAGTGTCCAGGTTAATTGTGTTGATGGGCCCTATTCTGATGTAGCTGATCTAAAATGCTAGGTTTGAATTTGACTATCAGAATTAAGGAGCAAACTGGGAGAAATAAATAATGAATGCTGCAGAAGCCATGAAGTCGTAAATCATGTCAGTGCTGCAGGGAGTTATGCTTTAACAAATGCTTTTCTCTTTCCAGCACGCACATGCACACTCCTCAGGATACTTCATAACTCAAGACTCTGCATTTGGAAATCTTATTCTTCCTGTCTTACCTCGACTTGAGGCAGAATGAGGAATGTTGTTTGTCTCAGAAATTCAAGATCTGATTTTTGTCCATAGCAGGAGCTGTCTAACCTTTTAATTTCTTTATGTATCTTAAAACCTACTTTTTTTTTCTGGGTTCTTGCAAATGCCATTCAGGAGTGTGAGCTCTAGTGATGGGGAAATAGTGTTGAAAATTTTTTATCCTGTATTTCTGTTCCTCTGTCGGGTCAAAGTCAAATGCAAGACTTTTCTTGGAGTTTGAAGTGCACAGGGTTTGCTCTTCCCTGTTTTCGGTGCTTCCTTTAAATAAATGTCCAAACCAGAGTCACCAAGAGATGCATAATCTGACAGCATTTGTGTTTCTTTTTATTATGTACAGGTATGATTTTGTAATGAATCATGAAAATTATTTCTGTCCATCAAAACAGACATGAATTTGTCAAATGCATCAGCCAGTCTTCCTCCCCACCCTCTCCTATGCAGGAGCATTTCTAGTGTACTGTTTGCCATTGTAGCATCATCTGGTCTTAAGTCCTTAGTTACAGTGTGCCTGGCTCTTACCTTGTTTTGTGAAATATGAAAATGAATTAAAGTGAGAAAAAAGCAAACGTTTCTAACAGTCTTTTTACAGAAAAAATGTCAAAAGTTCTCTGGACATCTCAGATGGAAGGAGTTGTCTGTAAAGACAATTCCATTTAAAAGGTTAAATTTTCCTTGTTATGCCTTTTTCAAGACTCTGTGTTTTATTTTTGTTCATTTTTTTCCTTGGTGTTTTTATCTGTGGTAAAAAATTCCAGCTTCCTGCTGGAATAAAATCTTTTGATCTTAAGGTAAATTATTTTGGAACTGTGATTGTACTACCAGGATAAAGTAAATTAGCATGAAAAATAGTCCTTACTTAGACCTTCTTATATCTCCATAGTTTTGCTTATGCAGCTGTACAACTACACTGATTGCATTGCCTATGGAGGCAAGTTTTAGAAAACAGAAAAGAGTAGGGAAACTTACATGAGAATGATAAATCAGAAAGCATCTGTTAAACTGGTGCCCATTTGAAGCACCTCTGTCCTTTGCAGAAACTTAGCTGTCCCATGAAGTTTCCAGGGTTGTAGTTGGCATTTCCTTAGGGACTTCTAGGGTATTCTGTTTCTATATGCAAGGGATTGCCTGAACCCAATAAGCACTGCTGAGCTATCTGTTAATGTATCACTGTTAATATTTGCAGTAATCATGAATACAGAACAACTACCAAGAGATGGGTGCAGGTATGAGGAAAATGCCACTACTTTCATATACGTCAGCTGAGCATAGACCTTTGCAGAAACTGGAGCATACTGAAACATTTTCAGGAAGGAGCATCTTCTGCACCCAGCCTTGATAGAGCTTTAGGATGTGCAATTTTAACAAGAATTATTCATACCATATGCTTTTTTTTCTGGGTTCTGATGTGATGAGTCATGGGAATGATGATGGGTTTTGTGGGCAGTAGAGAAAGAAGTCACTTCTGTTTTCTGTGGTTATCTCAGTAGCTATTTCTTTTTAATTACCAGGAGTGCAGCTATGAATCTGGCCAGCCTGGAAACAAAGGAAAAGGTGTTAAAGCAGATGCAGCAGAAAGCATGGATTTTGTATTTGAGTTGAATTAGCATTAAAGGAGGTCCATGCTACATATTTGAACTACAGAATCTTTCAGTGTGGTTGTACAGACTGCAAATGATCCAGGCAATGCAACAGTAGTCATCCTTCTCCCTTGGAAAGTTACAATTGCTCTACTGAAGGAGTTAACACTTGCTGCCTGTGTTGTTTTCACCTTGGGTATTGAAAGATCTGCTTTTGGAAATTCTGGGCCTGAGCTCGGGAATGAGTATATTGGAATGGAGGAGGGGGTCAGGGGGAATGAACACAGTTGTGTTATTTTAAAGTTATAATGTCTCAAATTATTCCTTGCAATTGTGAGGGTCTTGGTGATATATGTAGATAGGATTAACTGCCAAATACACAAATTACATATATGGAAGCACCTATCTTAGAAATTACAGACTCAAGCAATTACTGTCAGATGCATCAGTTTGTCTTGCCACTCCTTATTTCTACTATTAATCAGTATTGGACATATTAATCTATCCCTATACAGTAACTTCAGCAAAACCCATTCTCTGCTTGGAACCACATTGTTCAAATTCAAATTATTACCAGTTAGAATATATGTGAACCAGGAAGTATCTAGGATGTCTTGCTTCTAACAGTGACCCCTAAGGTGATCACATGAAAACTGAAGGCTGGTGGGATAGTACTGGCCTGTGTACCTCAACATGCATGACTCAATTAATTTTATTTAGTTTGCTACAATAGAAATTGGCCTTTCCACTCACCATAGTTTGGTGTAGAATCTGTCAGAGCTGAATGGTGGGGTGGAAGCAGCTTATAGACTGGGCTAAAGTACTGTGAGATCAGAATTATAATCTCTCAAAAACAGATGAGGTAAGGGGGTCAAAGACATACCTAAGCACTAAAAGAACTGAACCACAGCTTGTTTCTTAGTTGTGTCATCTGTTTCTTCTACTAGACAAGTTTTCATATCTTTGTTTTCCAAAGTCACCCACCATTTCCCTGCCACTATAACCTCTGGAAAACACTGTGATGTAACCCAAGAAGCTTGGCCTGTAAAACGATGTGTGATTTCCTACCATACATTTTACTTTCCTTTTTTCCTTATTGTTTTCATTCTGCTGAGGTCCTAGAAACACTGGTATGAAACTGATCAATAATACCTGATGTTGTATTGGACTTTATATCAGAACACAAAATACTCAGTGAAACATGGTAGTGGAAAGAAATTACAGCCCCTGGTGTAGCTTGCCTAGGTCTTTCTAATTGCTTTGATGTGCTCAGTCAGTTAAAATTGATAAATGCTGGTTTTGCCTTCATATGCTTTCAGCAGTGGACAAGCCAGCTGTAATTTTCTAGCTGTGGATACAGCTGGGTAGCACTGTTCATGGCAAGGGTCATTGTCTGAGGTACACACTTTGGATGGATTGAGGCTTTTAAACGCCAAAGGTCACTTCCCGTCTTGCTGCATAGCAGAGGAGTTAGTGCTCCAGCCCAAGCCTTGAATAAATGCTGGGTTTTTCCCAGCCTCTTCAGAGAAGAGGAAAGTGTCAGTTACCAGCCAGTTTACAGAGAACATCAGCTTGAGGTGATGCATGGGAAATGCAGACAACGGCACAACTTCTGTGCCTTATCTTACAGAATCTGCAGTGTTCTAGGGGGAGAGCACAAGGGCTGAAGGAGGGAATGAGCCTGCAACAGTGTGGGATGCAGTCACAGGCATGAGCAGGCAGTGACTATCTCAGTGCATCCTCTTGAGCATTATGGTAGCTAATTAATTGAAAATCAGGAGAATGAGAAAGCAACTGGATGACTCCTGTTGGTCAAATTTATAACAGAGACAATTCCTCTGGTCAAATCACCTCAAATAGCAAGCCTTCTTGAAGGACAGTTAGTCAGTCTTGCTGAAACTGAAACTTCGATTCCTGTGTTACAGGAGCATACAGTAACCAAAAGGACACTAAGGGAAAAGTTAATAGAAGGCAGCTGGTCTGCTGGGTGGTCTGTGTGCACAGACACCTCTGAAGGAGGAGGTAGAGAATGAGGGAAGGATTGTCTGACACCCAGCTGGAAAAGTCCACCTGTCCAGAGCTCTGTAAGCATGATTTATGTTTCGCTAACACACAGGGAAAATTCCATAGCACCTGCTAGTAACACCCTTGTGTCTGGAAAGCCTGGTAATCAAAGTGTTCTGAAACACTTTTGGAGGGCGAAAATATGGAGCTTTCTGTAGTGAATGGTAACTTTGACAACTAATCAGTGAAATAGTTTTCTCATGCAGTTAGGTTAATAGCTTGCTCAGTGAGTGTCTGCATTTATTGGAAGCACAGAGTGTGACCCAGGTATTTTACAAAGACAACACCATCCTGTTTCCTAGTTCTTCCACTTATAGAAGGAACCAAATGATAAATGTTTCATGGGAAAGTGATCTTTACATTCCTTCCTTTAATACATGTTTTTTAGAGAGAATGTTTAATGTATTAAATAGAGAAAGCTTGATTATTTTGTTGAGACGTGAAAAATTATGTTAAACTTTCCTCAGTTATTGCACTCTACCAGGTTCATTCAGGTATTGAATTATGAAAGGTGGTGGCATAGTTCTCTATCTGTTGTCTTTAAGGCTTTTAATCTGGATATTTTGGTCTCAGTGGATGCTTCTTTTTTCATGAAGATTTTGTAGATAGGGTCTGAAAGTTGTTCAAAATCTACCTGGAAAGTACAAATGACAAGCTTACTTGCCACCTTCACTATGCACATATGTTGCACATGTTAGCATATTATATAACTGGGTGGTGGTGCATAAAGTAGGGAAAGATGTGTCATTATAAAAAATATGTGTAGATTTACAGATATCTTTACATCTTCACAGGCTTTTTCAGTGTTTTCCTTGAATCCTCACATGAGGCAAACTAAGTTACTGTTACCTTCATTTTTGCAGATGAAGAAAAATGCTGAATGCACAGTAAACCAGTGGAATTATCAGGATGAGCTCCTGGTTAGTCAGCTAGCGTGAGGCATCATCTAGAGACTATTGCCCTGCATCCCACACCAGTAGCTGGTTCATCACCCCCTACTAGAAGACACAGAGCTCTTTGCTTTCTGGTTTGTCTTTGCTTTCTTTAATAGCTACTGCTTTAGCTTTGGTTTTCTTTTTCAGATGGTAAAGATAACAATGTCAGAGTTTGGGCCTTTTATGTTTAAAGTTTTGAGTAGGAGAGATGGAAACTGCAAGAGAGCAATGTTATACTCCATATTTGGAAAAAGCTTTCTTTCTTGTGCTTTGTTCTTTGCAACAGTGACTAGATAAAGTTTCTCATTATGCTGGGGTTTAGCCATTACTACATGCCCTAAGTAGAGATATGTTAGAGCATCTCTCTGCATGGATGGGTGTAGATTTTCTCTCTCTGTCAGTCAGTGGCCACTTCTGGAAGTGGGAATGGCCACATGTGGGCCCAAGCCAAAGCTGCTGTCTCAATATTTCTCTGCCAGCAGGACTGCACAGCCGGCTGACAACTGAGATGGGTCAGAAGGAATGAGTGTTTACAGTCTGTCAGGAAGAGACACACCAAGAGTCATATATTCTCAAACTCTGCCCAGCAGAGGGCTTGTTTGTCCAGAGAAAGCAAAACACTGTGCATTGGCCTGCGTAGAACAGTCTGCCTTGCCAGCACCCTTGGTAGTCCCTGTAAGGGGGGTTTATGTCCCATCTAAATGAAGGGTTAGTTTGAAGCTACTCCTTCTAAGCATAGCCTACTTCCCTAGACTTTGAGGTTTGTAAAGGCTCCCTCTGAGCTGGGCCTGTGCATATATCCCAGTCTCCCGCTCACACACAGATCAGCATTGTCAGATTCAGCTCTAATTACTTTCAATTTAATACCTTGAACTGGTCAGTTTACTCTGTCAGCAAACAAGCCTGCTTAACCTGTCAGTTTGGATAGACCATCTTTTTTTGATGGGTTTCCTCATCAGCTGACACAGCAGTGTCCTGACGTAAGACAGG